CCGTAACACGCTCCCTGACGCGTTCCCTAGCACGTCCCCTGGCGCGTCGCCTGGCACGTTCACCGGCACGTTCCGTGACGCGTCCCGTGGCGCATCCCCCTGGCACGTCGCGCGACGCGTCCCCTGGCACGTCCACTGGCATGTCCACTGACACGTTCAGTAGCACATCCCCGTGGCACATCCCGCAGAGCGTTCCCATGGCACGTCGCAGTTCCCCTGGCGCGTCCCTTGGGACGTTCCGCGGCGCGTCCCCCTGGCATGTCTCGCGGCGCGTCCCGTGGCAGGTCCCTTGGCGCGTCCCCTGGCACGTCTCTGTGCGGCACGGCACAGCGCAGCGAAGCACAACACCCCCTGGCACAGCGTCATCACCATCGATATCTTTAGCATTGCCACTTCCCATCGCCCAATTGAGATCCTTAGAAGCGTTTCCATGCCTCGCAGTTCTCATTTCCTCTCTGGGTTCGTGGGTCGATCATGTGAAAACGAATGTGCGCGGCGCTAGGGCGAGAGCCACTTTTTGAAAGCCACCCGCTTTCCATCTGTGAAACTGTTGCCACTTCTGGAGCTTCAAGATCATGCATGGTGAAGAAAACTCAGGCGAAACGCACGGCCCGCCCTTTCGACCAGCCTCGGGGTGCGACAGGGAGGAGCATCTAGAAGGAAAAGGAATGCAGGAGGAGGAGCAGGAGGAGAAGGAGGAAGAGGAGGAGGAGGAGGAAGGAGGAGCATGAGTGGGAGGAGGGCGCAGGCGAGGAAGGCAAGGAGGGCAGCCCCTGGAGAGGCGCGAGGAGGAAACGAGGGGGAGCGATAGGGAGGACCAGCTCGGGGAGGAGCGGCGGGGGGGCGAAACGGCGAGCCTGAAAATCAGCAACGGATCGCTGATAGATCGGCGATGGGCCCCCGATAGTGAGGCGAAGCAAGTGCCTGGACGGGGGGGCCCCTGGCGGCGAGGAGTGCGGGCCATTGGGGGGTCGACGCTTCCCCCCGGGGCCAGCGCCCCCCGTCGTTACCCCTGATGCCCGACATCCCCAAAGACGAAGCCAGGACGAGAATAAAGCCGGTGCCGATAGATCAAGAATCTCTGAGATCTGGCGGCTCTGGGGGAGGTATCGGGCGCCGCGGCCTTCTGAGAGCGTTCCGAAACGCTCTGAGAGTATTCCAGAACTCTCTGGAACGGATTTATCGTCGCTCTAGACCCGTCCGAACCCCCCCTCCCTCCCCAGACCTCCAGCGGAGGACTGGCTTTTCATTCCGCACGCCCCAGGCCTCTCGAGTCCCTCCCTCCACGGGGCCAGCAGTTCGTCCAGGATATTTGAGGACGGCTGGGAAAAAAGCTAGCGGCCTGGATCCCGAACAATGAGTTGTTATACTGTGGAAGTGAACGCTATGCAAAGTAAGCTATGTAGTGTTACAAATGGTGTGTACGCGATGCGGAGTAAGCTATGTGCTAGCTATGTCGTGTAAGCTATGAGATGTGAGCTATATGGTGTTGGCTTTGCTGAGTAAAGTATGCGGTGTAAGCTATGTGGTGTGACCAATATGGCGTGAGCTGTGGTACGTTTCGAAGCTATGCGGTGTACACTATGCGGCGCGAGCTATGCAGTGCCAGCTGTGTTGCCCACCCAGGGCACAAGGCACGAGGCGCCCACGAGACGCCTCTGGGCGGGCACCAGGCGAAACCTCGGCGGACCAGCCTAAGGCACGGGGCGCCCACGAGCGCCTACGAGGCGTCCACGGGCGGGCACGAGGGGCACGAGCGCCTACGAGGCGTCCACGAGGGGCGAAACCTCGGCGGAAGCACCTCAGCCGCCTGCGCTTCCCGCCGCTGGGCGCCGAGCGCCGGCCCAGGGCGGCGGCGCAGCGGCCGCTCCGAGGCGAGGCGCAGCGGCCCCTTCGAGGCGGAGCCACCCCTGGGCACGGGGCGCACGCGAGGCGCCCACGGGCACGGGGCGAAACCTCGGCGGACCCGCCCAGGGCACGCGAGGCGCCCACGAGCACCCACGAGGCGCCCAACGGGCGGGCACGGGGCGCCAACGAGGCTAAAGCCTCAGCGGGCCCGCCCGGGGCACGAGGGCGCCCACGAGGCGCCCACGAGGCGCCCACAGGCGGGCAGGGGGCGCCCACGCGGCAAATCCTAGGCGGACCCGCCCAATTCCTGAACAAGGCAAGTGCGAACCCCTGAGTGCTTCTTTGGGGGACAATCCGACGGAAGCCTGGACCCCCATCCGTCTGACCTCCGTCTCCCGGCCCTCCCCTCTCAATCCCCCCCCCTCCCTCCCCTGCGTGCACATTCCACCTGCTCCCGTCCCTCCCCCCTCCCTTCCCGCCGCACCCCCCCCCGTCCTCCCTCCCTGCCCCCATCCCTCCCCTCCTCCCCTCATTCCCTGCCAAGGCGTCGACTCGCCATCTCCCTGGCAGGTAGATACGTTTTCAGGGCCCAAGAGCAGGAATGGCCGGGGAAGGTATCTGCCTGACGGCCCGCGGGGAAGGGCAGATGCGTCAGTCGGCTTTCCGGTCTGCGGGGAACGTCGGCTTGACGCCCCCTTGCGCCGTCGTTACCTGACCCTCCCTCTCCTCCCTCCCACATCTCCCCTTCTTCCCCACACTGTGTCACGCCAAATGTACCGTATACCCCAGCCCTCAGGGGTCCCATCATCGTCGTGCTGCTGGTGCCGTCCTCCTCCTCCTCCTCCTCCTCCTCCTCCTCCTCCTCCTCCTCCTCCTCCTCCTCCTCCTCACCCTCCTCCTCCTCCTCACCCTCCTCCTCCTCACCCTCCTCCTCCTCCTCCTCCTCCTCCTCCTCCTCCTCCTCCTCCTCCTCCTCCTCCTCCTCCTCCTCCCCCTCCTCCTCCTCCTCCTCATCCTCTTCCTCCTCCTCCTCCTCCTCCTCCTCCTCCTCCTCCTCCTTCTCCTCCTCATCCTCCTCCGAATCCTCATCCGAGTCCTCCTCCGAGCTTATTCCCGGAAAGGGCGCAGGACCAGTGTTCTCTTTCAGTTCGTAACCTTGTCCCTGGGTGCCATGTTGGGGGGAACTGGCGGAATTCCATTCGAAAAATAACCAAGTAAAGCCGCATTCTGCGGGGAAAAAAAGCTTGCGCGTCACCGCTCGAGGAAAGTGGACGCCCCATGAGGGAACCACGATAAACAACGAGGATAAGCGGAACCCCAAAAAGTGCGGAGCGTTTTCCACGGAATTCAAAATAAATAACGTGGTCTGGAGACCCTACATAATATTCAACCAAACATATGAAAATGTTGACTTGTTGCGTCCCCGCGCGAAGATGGCGCGTCCTGCCCGCAGAAATTGTGAGGATGTCTCGAGCGAAACGCTCGTTTTGGAGAAGTGGAGAGGCCGTCCCTTTCGCCCCAGTCCTCTTCGCTTCAGGGCGGAACAAGCGTGAAAACACGTGGGTCCATTTCGCCTCAGGGCGCGGCAAGCATGAAATCACGTGGGTCCCTTCGCCGCAGGGCAGAGCAAGAGTGAAAACATGTGGGTCAATTTTGCCTCAGGGAGGAGCAAGCGTGAAAACACTCCCTTACGCTTGCTCCGCGTTGGGACGAAAGCGACCCACGTGTTTTCTCACTTGCTGCGCTCTGGGGCGAAAGGGACCCAAGTGCTTTAACGCTTGATCCGATTTGGGACGAAAAAGGGCCCACATGTTTTCACGCTTGTTCCGCTCTGGGGCGAAACGTGTTTTCACGTTTGCAGCGCTCTGGAGAGAAAGGGACCCACGTGATTTCACGCTTATTCCGCTCTGTGTCTAAAGGGACCCCAGTGTTGTCACGCGTCCTGGCCACCCAGGGGCGGTCTAAAAGCAGAGCAAACTCAACGAATCAGCACTAAATGCATAATCACTTGGCACGTTCAGTCTTGGGGCTCCGGGGCCTCCTGCGGCTGCCTGGAGGGGACCCACATGTGGTCACGCTTATTGCATTCTGGGGCGCAAGGAACCCACGCATTGTCACGCTTGCTCCGCCCTGGGGCGACAAGGACCCACGTGCTTTCACGCTTGTTCCGCTCTGAGGCGAAAGGGGCCCACGCGTTGTCGCGTCTGTTCCGCTCTGGGGCGAGCTTGCTCCGCCCGGGAGGGCGACAGGAGCCCATGCGTGTTCACGCTTGCTGCGCTCGGGGGCGAAAGGGACTGCGCCCACCCAGAACGCGACAGCTACGAGGATTCCGATCCTATGGACCTCCTCCCGTCTGTTGCGCCCCCTCCAGAACGCGACACTTGCTAGGATTCTGAACCTCTGGATCTTCTCCCGCGTGTTGCCACCCTCCCCCCCCGTCAGAACGCAACAAATGCAAAGATTCTGAGCTTCTGGACCTCCTCCCGCGTATCCGCCACTTCCAGAACGCGACAGTTGCGAGGATCCTGAGCCTCTGGACATCCTCCTGCTTGTCGCGTCCTCTTGGCACGTCCCGCGGTGCGGCCCCATGGCACGTCCCCTGGCATGTTCCCTGGCACGTTCCATGGCGCGTCCCGTGGCGCGTCCCCCTGGCACGTGGCGCGGCGCGTCCCCTGGCACGTCCCGTGACACGTCCACTGGCACGTTCCGTGGCGCGTCCTCTTGGCACGTCCCGCGGTGCGTCCCCATGGCACGTCTCCTGGCACGTCCCCTGGCGCGTCCCTTGGGACGTTCCGTGGCGCGTCCCATGGCACGTCACTGCGCGGCACGGCACAGCGCAGCGCAGCACAACACAGCCCCTGGCACAGTATCATCACCATCGATATCTTCAGCATGGCCACTGCCCATTGCCCAACTGACGTCCTTAGAAACGTGTCCATGTCGCGCTGTTCTAAATTTCTGTCCGCGTTCGTGGATCGATCGTGCTTTATTTCCTGTCCAGGGCGCGTTCTGGCCAGAGTGGCGAGACTCAGCCGTGGCAGCGAGGACGCCACCTGCGGATCCAAAACGCAACAAAAAAAACATAACGCCGCCTCACGTTCTTGTTCCTCCCCCCTCCTGAAACTGCGGCTCTGGCCACGGCCCCTTCCCTC